TAGAACTGGAGTTGCATTACTGTCACGAATCACCCAAAGAGGGTGCTAGGAACTGAACCCATGTCTTCGGCATGAGTCATACAGGCTCTTAACCACTGAGCCATCTCTCCAGCTCCTTCAATCAGCATTTAAGTCACCTACCTGAACGGAATGTACTTCACCTGAGGTCGCAGCATAAGAGAGTGCCACCAGGTCAGCACTCCAGTGGAAATCACTAGGGGGCAGCTGGAGTTCTTTGCAAACAGACAACTGCAAGACAAGACCAAACAAACAAAAAACCCTTCACATTTAATCCAGTTTGTTCATTCTGACTTCCTTATTCCTTCTGTATATTTCAAATGAATTCACTGCTGGAATACCATTTTACAAAAGCCTTCTTTTCACAGCTCTTTTTGATCAGGTACAACAGAGTATCTCAAGAGACACAAAGTCAGGAAAAACAGATGCAAAAATGGACTTCTATATGAACTAGTCTGTGCTGAGCACATTAAGGCAGCTTACAGACCCAAGAGAATACAGTGTGAAAAACCAAGCTCTGAAGCAGGAGAATAAGGGACACATGATCCAGAGCCCATGAAGACAGTGATATCACAAGCTCATGTTCACTTATTTTGGCTGCAGTGGGTCCTTTGAGAAGGAAGAATCTAAAGACCTCAACAAAAATAAATTATTGAAAGAGAAGTTTTGGATGGCTGAGAGGCCAACAGGGGACTGATCAGGACTCCATGAATGTAGTGCCAGTGAGGAGGCCACAGAAATCACTGTGTTTACCATGGTGTATGAATGATCTTTGGGAGTCCATTCCAAATAGAGGGATGCTCTCTCAGCCTGGACACATGGGGAAGGGCCTAGGTCCTGCCCTGGATGAAATGACAGACTTTGGAGATCCCCCCCCAAGGAGGAATGATGTGGGTATTGGGTGGGGGGTTGGGAAGGGGCTGGTAGAGGGACAAGGGAGGAGGGGTGGGAGAGGGAGCTGGGATTGACATGTAAAGCATTCATGTTTCTAATTTAAATAAAAACATATATTGAGAAAAAAAAAGAGAAGTTTTGTTTTATTTTTTTCAATAAACTACAAATGCACATTCAGCATTTCATATCATGAATTCCTAATGATTACAGATTGACCAGCATCGTTCACGAACTTTAAAAATAAAGAACCAGTTGAAACCCCTTTCCCCCACTTGTTATCTAAAAAGGCATTACCTTAGTGACAGGTGACACAGTAATCTTCCAAATGAGGAGTTTCTCTTTGCAAACCAGGCAAGCCCACCCACCTTCATCTATGTGGACAGACAGCTGATCGTCAGCTGAGGAAATAAGGCATACAATTAATCTCACATTGAGACTATGAAAAGTTGTTTAATCTTTTTATACTAACACCTTTTCTACCATATTTGTCACCAAAACAGGTAACAGAAGCACACATATATTAACTCAGGAGCTGGAGAGATGACAATGATTAAAAGTACTTAGCTGCACATGCAGAGGACCTGGGTTTAGTTACCAGCACCTACATGGCAACACATAACCACCTAAAACTCCAGTTCTGGAGGATCTGACCCACCCTTCTGATACCCACAGGTTCATGCATACACATGGTGCACATATATACTTAGGCATACAAATATATAATTATCATAAATACTAATAACATAAAATAAAATTTAAAAAGCAAGTCACATAACAATTTCCAAATATTTAGGATTAATCAAAATCCAACATGAGATTCATTAAGCTTTAATGATTACCTTTAGAAGCATATCCCAAGCCAGGTGGTGGTGGTGCACGCCTTTGATCCCAGCACTCGGGAGGCAGAGGCAGGATCTCTGTGAATTTGAGACCAGCCTGGTCTACAAGAGCTAGTTCCAGGACAGGCTTCAAAGCTACACAGGGAAACCCTGCCTCGAAAAACCAAAAAAAGGGAAACATATCCAAAAGAAAAAACCATTTGGGTTTATGTTTAATGCTCTTTCATTTTTGTTATAAAGACAATCTTAGTTAAACATGGTGGCAAATGCCTTTAATTCCAATACTCAGGAAGCAGAGACAGGTGGATTTCTCTGAGTTTATGGCTAGTCTGGTCTACCTCTATTGCATCCTACCCCCAAAAAAGCAAAAACACAATTTAACTTCTGTAATAATTACTTATTTGATAGAGCAAACAATAACTCTCTCATTAGCTACCATTTTCAAAGGAAAAAAACCCACATTCCTTCAAAAGAATATAATTTTCAAATAGAGCTCTTTAAAGACACAGTGAAACATTTCATTACAAGGAAACACAAAGAACATTGTTTATTAAGGGAAAAACCAACATACTACTATGTCTAAGCACCAGTGGTGGTAAGCTTTCACAAATGCATTCATAGCCTTGAGAATCTTACCTGATTTGGGCTTTGCTCTTTGTGTATAGACTGGGCAGTGGTACAAAACACATAGCATTGGAAATAAACACACTAAAATGTGGACTCATGTCCAAGCCCTGCACAGCCTCCTGCTGAACTGAAGCACCCTGCTTGGGAGAGTTCTTAGCCCTCAAGCCTTGAAGGTCTGACCTAACATCAGATGTGGTCATTTTAAAATGAAGTAAAGTCCTTTAAGTCTGCACCACTCTTTGGAATTCCTAGAGCAGAGGTTATGTACTGCTTATACACAGACTTGTGGCATGACCCAGAAAGGTTTAAACACAGTATAAACTGAAATTTTTGGAGTGGCAAAAAGAAAAAGAATGAGGTGGGGAGGTAGGGATGGAAACCAGGTGGAGAAAATAATGCATGACAGAGATGAGCAGCCTGAAAACCACCACCCCTAAAATGCTAGGGACTGACAACGAGGATGCCTACCTAACTGAAGGGGACAGGAAACATATCTTTTACAACAGAATATTTTTATCTACAGTTTTTCATGATAAGGGCTGGCTCAGTGGATAGTGCCTGCTGTTTAAGCTTTATGATCTCTGGCCAGGCGGTAGCGGCGCATGACTTTAGTCCCAACACTTCGGAGGCAGAGGCAGGTGATCTCAGTGAATTCGAGGACAACCTGGTCTACAGAGCTACTTCCAAGACAGCCAGGGCAGCTACACAGAGAAACCCTGTCTTGAAAAATAAACAAACAAAAAAGTCGGGAATATCTGAAGGGGACTGAAATTTACACACATAGTACTTCGACTAATGACTCGATGTGATTATGTTAGACTAATTCACTCAGCTTCACAAACCTATGTCTCAATAATATTGAAAAACAGCTTCCTACTTCTCTGACATACAAAGCCAAAATGCCATTGCATTTGACCTGGTTATTGACTGATGTCAGGGGCAAATGAAAAGATGACACCTACCCTCAGCCAGTGTCAAAGCTTCCATGACCTTAACAGGGAGAGACGATCCAAACATTCTCACATCGTAGTTCACAGACTCTGATATGGAATGGTGAGAAAATACCCGTGTAGGTGTTCCTCTAAAGAGAAGAGACCACGTAATATTACTTGCAATCTGAAATTTCCCAGTATCTTAGCCTTTTACAGATCTACACATAAGAGATCCCTGATGAAGTAAATCTGCAAAAGATACTAGCTTGTGTGCATTATGTAATTAACTATATTTTTCAACAGAACTAAGAAGCCTGACTTCTTAGCTTGATTCCCATTGCTGTGATATAGACCAAGACCAAAAACAACTTGAGGAAGAGTTCATTTCATCTTATACTTCCAGGTAACAGCCCATTACCAAGGGAAGTCAGGGCAGTAACTCACAGGGCAGGAACCTGCAGACAGGACCTAAGGCAGGAGCCATGGACAAATGTTCTTGACTGGTTTGCTCAGTTGCTTTCTTATGTACTCCAGGGCCACCTGCCCAGGGATGGCACTGCCCAGAGTGGGCTGGGTCCTTCCACATCAATCATCAGTCAGGAAAACCCCCACAGGCATCTTCTTAATTGAGCTTCCCTCTTCTCAGATGATTCTGGTGTGTGTACAAGTACACACACACACACACACACACACACACACACACACACACCATGCCTGGTTTTTGACCATGAGCTCAGAAATTAGGAGCACATGTTTACCTTTAAGATCAGTGCTATCAAGAACCCTTTCCAAAAGAAAAAAGTCAACAGCTCCCTGAAACTAACCTGATTTCCTTTCCTGTCCGTGTCACTATAATAAAGAAATTACTTTTGTTTTAATCTTTACAATACCTGACGTCTGTTTCTACCTTACAAAAACATTGCTTTGATACTACTCAGAAGGTGCTTTTATTCTTTTCTGTAGCGCGAAGACTGAATTTATGAATTCAATAACAAGTTAAGCAAAGGGAGTGCAAAATGAGGGTCACCATTGAAAAAGAGGCAATAATACGCAAGAGTGACTACGTTCCAACTCTGCGGCAGCTTTCCCCCCAACTGCTCGGTTCCACCTGCCGGTTCTGGAACTGAACCTGCTGATCACCGAACATCCACTTACCTAGAGCTCACCGAGCTGCGCCGGCCTACCGGAGAGAAGAGCACAGGCGAGCTAACGGCAGACCCCAGAGACAGACCCCTTCTGCTCGCTCTAGGCGTGGACGCCGGTCCGATTCCAACCAGCGGACCCCGTCGGGTCCCTGGCCCCGGGGTCCGCGGAGAGGAGACGCCTGGAAACATGTCTGCAGGGACCGTTGAGGAAGCTCCACTTGGTAGAGGAGAAAAAAAAAGAAAGAGAAAGAGAGAGAGAACCTCACGCGCCAGGAGCTTGAACACTAAGGGGGCGGGAAGGCGCCTACCGATGACGCAAACAGGGCACGGAGCCGGGACCAACACTCAGCGATGATATACAAATAGGGAAGGGAAGGCGCGTGGCGATGACGGCAAAGCTTGGCGCCGAGCTGCAGGGCGGAGTCGGAACTAGAAAGACGTGTTGGCGTCATATCCAATACCGGGTGGCTAGCGACTTTGAGGCGGAATCGCTTGGTTCCTGGTGTGGCTGGAGCGTTTCGGAGTCCAGAGTCTCCGGGGTACATAGGGAAGAAGCCCCGTTCTCCAACGTTCAGGCTGGAGCTGACCCTCTGCGGGGAGCGCGATCTGGGGAAGGAGGCGTCCGTGGGCGGAGCCGAGGAAGTCAACGTGCTGGTGTCTCGGTGTGCTGTGGCGATTGTGTATCGCGCCGTTTCCCAGTGCCCTCAGCAGAGCTCTTCCCACCCTAAGTCAGATCGGCCGCAGGTTTGGCCTCCGTCCTAATGCCCGGGCTTTTCTTTGGGTCCCAGCTCTTGCTTCCCAGCCGCATGTTGCAGTTTGATGGGTTTGGCCTACCACCTCAGGCACGAAAAGGGCTGTGTCGTCCTTCCCCCCCCTCCACCAGAGTCAGGCTTACTCTCACTCCTCCACCCCCGAAGCCCCAGAACCTTGTAGAAGTCATAGCAGGCATGCCCACAGCTCTGTTAGTCTCCTGGGCCTGTTTTTGGAGGTCCGCAGTGCATGTAGGGGGTGTGTCTTCCTTTCTACTCTGCTCCCCACACTGCCAGCCAGTGAACTAACGTAAGCTCTGAAGTTTGTAAATATCCAGTGCTTATAACTGCCCAGGGGCTACTTGCTCAACGCCTTTGTGAGGTCCCGTGACTTAACTTTCGGCGGCCTTTCCCTCTTGCCGCTTCCCACTTGGGATTCCACATTCTACGAATTAGTCTCTAATGCCATTGCGCAATTTTCTTTCTCCTGGATTGCCTGCTCTTCCTGGCAGTTGTCCACCCGCATCAAATTTAGCGCTGCCATATCTCGAGACCTTCTTTAGATCATGGAAGACCTTCCTACTCCCTGCCCGTATACATCTAATCTGTCTCACAACTTTGTGTCCACAGTGGCCTCTCAAATAATTTCAGTTTTGGTGTTTTTGGCATCCGAGACAAAGTCATGTAGCCCAAGATGGCCTTGAATAACTCGTGGTCCTGCAAAGATTACAGCCACCACACCTGGCTCAAGTAGTTACTTTTAACTGCCTTTCTTGGGGGAGAGGGGTGAGACACGGACTCACAAAAATCCACCTACCCATGTCTCCCAAGTGCTAGTATTAAAAGCGTGCACTACTACAGCCAGCTATTTCTGAATATCTTTGAGAGGGTGATTTTGCCACCTTTTTGTCCACCGTAACAAGTACACCGTGGACTTTCACAGCATCTTTGCTGAAATAGGAGAACAGTTAGGTAAACACTGGTTGAGTAAATCTTAGATGGGGGCACAGTGGGCCAGTTGTTCATATTCCCCAAGATCACATTTGTACTACTAGCAATTACCTTGTATCTTCTCCCAACTGAGAGAAAGTAACAGGTTTATCTTGTTCTGCGGCTGCCTTTTGAGCCTTAGAGAGCCCAGAACATGTCCTCTTTTGTTTCTATTTTTTTGGGTGGGGTATGCAATCGGAGGTGGAGATGGTGGTGTCCGAAGAGGTTTGGTGAAGTCAGCTTTGTTCTTGTACCTGCAGGACCAGGAATTATTCAAAGCCACCTTGGACTACATGAGACCTAGTCTCAAGACCCCAAAACAAACAAAAAACCCAAATGTATGGACGAATGGAGAGATGGCTCAGAGGTTAAGAGTACTGACTACTCTTCCAGAGGTCCTGAGTTCAATCCCCAGCAACTACATGATGGCTCACAACCATCTGTAATGAGATCTGGTGCTTGCAAGGAAACATGCAGGCAGAATCATATGCATAATAATCTGTAAAAGAAAAAGTGTATACTACTTTTGCAGAGCACCCAAGTTCATTTCTCTGCCATTGTCCTCCTGACCTAATTGATATGTTTTCCCAGTCATAAGGGAACTTCTCTCCCTTAAGCTGGTGGTATTTTATTACAGCAATGAGAAACTAAGACAAGTGACAAACCAATTCACAGCTTGCCGAGCTGCTTCCCTCACTGGAGGGAATGGAACCTAAGTGTTTTGTCTACCTCATGGGACTGTCAGAGCACCAAATATTATGCGGACACATGCTGGAAATCAAACAGCCCCCAAACAACCTTGCTGGCCACAGTACTTGGCCAGATTTCTTTTGTTGATTTTTGCCTGCCTCATCCCCACTAAGCTAGAGCTTTTTGAAGACAGACACTGCTGAATCCCTTCTCTGGGCCACAGCACTGTTCTCAAAGTGGGACAGCGAGTTCTTACTGTTCTCAGTAATAGGACTGGAGTAGCTAGACAGAGTGCTAATAAACAGCAAACAAGTGAGGACATGAAGAACTTCTGATGAGGAAAAGCACGGAACTTGCAGTCACTCCTCTGTATTTGGCATGTCAGATTAAAAAATTCTTTGAGTCTCCATAGCAAATTCTATTAAGAAACTGAATATGTACAAAAATTTAAAAGAAGTGATAGACATGAGGCTGAAGATGTGGATATAACTCAGCAGTGCTTGGCATGTGAGTGGCCTTTGATTCAGTCTCAGCATCATAACGTAAAATTCACTATAAATTTTAATCTGATATAAAATGTTAAAGACAAACATTAGTAAGAAATAAAATGTGATGACTCAATTCAGTTTTTTAAATATGTCCATTGAGCAAAGGGGTTTCCCACCAACCTGATTTGCAACTGTTTTGTCTTGAGAATCACCCTTCAAGTTGAGTAAACATGTGGACAATGGAAAATGATTGTCAGACGTGCTGTTTACTAACTCAAAGACCACTACGCTCATTCAGGGAGCCTATCTTGCTCATCAAGTTCCCAAGCAAAACATAAACTATGATATTCTGTATTTCTCATGAAGAGGGCTCTCCCAGTATGGCCAGAGGCAAATGGACATGGCAAGTTTGTCAATTTAACTCTTGGTGTAGCTGTGTTGCAGGCTCTACATCACCAGCATAAAAAAAGCACCAGCATAAAAAAAAGCACTTCTTCAACTGGGCAGTGGTGGCACACGCCTTTAATCCCAGCACTCGTGAGGCAGAGGCAGGCAGATTCTCTGCGAGTTTGAGGCCAGCTTGATCTATAGAGCAAGTTCCAGGACAGGCTCCAAAACAATACAGAAAAAGCACTTTTCCTTGAGGCCAAAAAAAAAAAAAAAAAAACAGTGGCAAATCTTTAAGAATGGAAATACTGTAGGTGACTAAAACTACAAGGACAGGAGAAAAAGGCTACTCAGCTCCTTTTATGGGGCGGTGCTGTTAATATTCTATGTACTCCATGAAGTAGGACTTTCAAATGTCTTTATAATAAGGTCTCATGCCCTGGCTGATTTTAAGCTCACTATGTAATCCCAGTTGCTAGGATTAGGGATGTAAGTCATTATGCTTTTTTTTTTTTTCTTTTTAAACCAGAATAGTTTTTCATGGCTAATTGTTGGAATCTTCAAGATGAACTGGATGCTGCAACAACTCCTCTTGACTTTTTAGATTGTTCCTTCACAGACTCCATGTCTGAATATATGATAAACAATTTTAGGTATCTCGCCTGTCCAGTCCCAGCAATGTTTCATCTCTTTGGCTCCAGTTATACTTTCTCTTGCACTTGGCAGGGCAGCCACATTTGCCACAGCAGCAGGACAATATGTATCTTATTTTGACGCTCTCCAAAAGACGATGTTCCTTTTGTCGTTGTGTTTCTGCTACTGAGGCCAAAGAACCACCATATTCAAGGCTGAAAATTATATTATTCAGATTCAGCCTTATTAGTGAAAATTTAAAATACAAAACTATAATTAATATATCTGAGAATTACATATTATTTTAAAGTTTTTTTCCAAAATGCATGCTTCAACAAATGTAAAATTGATTTTCGTTCACTTTTGTTGCTAATACCTGTTCATTTGTACCTTGCTTTTCAAGAGGAGTCATAAAACAAGGAAGTGAATAAAAAATAGAAGCTTTCCTGTTTCCTTTGGCAAAATGCATCAGGCTCTCATACACCCTAGTGCTGAGCACTGCACACTCTTTGACAGTTGCAGCCTATGGTGTTCCAGAGCTGACCCCAGATGTGGGGGACAGACAAGGCATGCTTTCCCTCAGTGGCCCCAGGTAGGTGCCCCGTGATTAGAAACCTGGCTTAAAGTAGTCAGGCCTTTGGTTTATAATTCCCTTTTAAAAGCCTGGCAACAGCTTGACTCTGGCAGCAGGAAAAGGAAATGAGGTGCCGTGCTGAGTTAACAAACATTCCAAAACCTGCAGTAACTTCAGTGCTTCAGACATTTAGAAAATTACAATTTTAAAACTGAATAAGAAGGTCTGGGAACAGGTACATCTTAAAACAATATTTCATAGTCTTTGTGAAAATAGGCATGTTTCAAATAACTGAAGTTATGATTCACAGGTTTCATACAGTCTCTAAGTTCTGTTTTCTCCAATGCTGTTTGGTTAAAGTCTCTCGAACAATCTATCAGTAACTACTGCTTTATTTTTGTTTTCAGACAGGGTCTTGCTATGCATGTGACGAAGTCTTCACAATCCTTTTGCTCCAGTTTACCGATAGCTGGGATTAAAGGTTATATACTGTGACAGCTCCAGGAACTGCTCCATTATACTGACATAAAACTCTGTTTGTTCATTAATTTTCTGTAAAGCCCATTGGGCTTTAAAAGTAGCTCTTCATGTGTTCCATGTTCACTGATTTTTCCTTGATCAAGGACAGCAACAAAATTGGCATTCTTAATAGTGGACAGGCGGTGAGCTATGATCAATACTGTTCTTCCTTCCATCAGCCGATCAAGTGCCTCCTGTACCAGATGCTCATTTTCAGCATCCAGTGCACTGTAACAGACAAGGTCACACACAAGAGGAAGCAGAGATGTTAGAGATGCACACATGGTTGCACACATTATTGAGCTACTCCCCCTTGGACACACACACATCACTGTGACACCCTCCAACATGGCTACACATATTAGACACTCTAACATGCTTACACATATCACAGAGATACCCTCACCTGGTTGCTTCATCAAGGAGAAGAATTTTCGGGTTCTGAAGAAGGAAAGAGAAAATGATTTATTAGCAGACACAGCTCTGGGCAGGAAGAAGGAACAGCATGGGCTGCTGAGAAGGCTCAGCAAGTAAAGACACTTAACCACCAAACCTGACAACCTGAATTCGATTTCCAAATCCCACATCATTAGAAGGAGAGAACTGCCTTCCACAATTTGTTCACTGACCTTTGAGTATCCTTCACCCCAAGATAAATAATACATAAAATAAAAATATGATTTTTTTTACTATTAGAGTTTAACTATTAGAGTTTAAAAAGATAGAAAATATATGGAGGTATGGCTCCGTGGTTAAGCTCTGTCCTTCCAAAGGACCTGGGTTCAATTCCCAGCACCCATATGGCAACTCCAGTCCCAGAGAATCTGATGCTTTCTACTTGCTTCCATGGGCACCAGGCACAGGTGTGAAGTATAGACATACATGCAGGCAAAACACTCATATACATTAAAAAAAGAAGGAAGAGAGTTCTGACCTATATGGTGGTATTGCTGCGCCTGGCAAACAGTGGACTGTCAAGTAGTCAGACACAAAAGATCTGTGAGTCCACCCACATGAAATGCCCAGGCAGGCACCAGGACAAAAGGCTGAAGAGTGGCCTTCCAGCTGATTTAGACAACGACAAGGGAGGACCCTGCTGAGTGACAGAAACATTAGACTGTTTCTATCATCCCATGGTGAAGGATGAATCAGTTCAGTGCACCAAGACCCACAGAACTGTATTTGGATGGGAAATAGAATAATAATAGCGATGGTAGCACACACCTTTAATCCCAGCACTCAAGAGGCAGAGGCAGGTGGATCTCTGTGAGTTTGAGGCCAACTTGGTCTTTAGAGTGAGTTCCAGGACAGCCAGTGCTGCTGTTACACAGAGAAACCCTGTCTCAAAAAAACAAAAACAACAAGAAAATCTTGATAAAGAGAACCTGCACCTAAGTATCTGCATAAGTGTGTGACGGAAATGACTGCATGGAGCTGAAGTCCCTGTCACTGAAATCACTAGATGGAATTGGCTTAAAGCATTGTTACCTGCTTGTGAGCCAGGAAACAGAGAATCTGAAACCAGCAAGTTCAGTCTTCAGCTATCTCCATGTCCTTCCAATAGCTTAATAAATGCAAACTAATGCATAATGCAGAAAATGTAAAACTGAACTAATATATACATCAAATTCTAGGTTTTTTTCCTAAAAATCTATCTGTAACAAATAAAAATTTGTCAACAAAAGGTACCTGCCATGTTCAAACATTACAACAACCTTCAAATCAACATAGACACATACAGCTCATTGATTAAGCAAAATGAGAAGGAAGTTCTCAACAACACAGGGAATGCAGACATTTCAAAGTGCTATGAGCAGAAGTGGAGATATGTACTGTCTGTTTACATTGTCTGGACTGTCCAGAAAGGCAAATCTAGACAAACTGTTCCATAGCATGGCATCCTGGGTAAGATGGAGAGTTAGACTGTATGGACAAATGTATACTTAATGAAAGTCATTACAAGGTACATTTAAACAGGTAACCTATGGAATCATGGTTCCATGATGCCATTAGAAACTGCTTATATGCTGAGGAGAGTAATGATGGGAGGTGTTGCTCTTTGTTGTCCGTCCCCCCCCCCCAGGGTTTCTCTATAACAGCTCTGACTCCTGGAACTTGCTTTGTAGGCCAGCCTGGCCTCAAACTCAGAGGTCTGCCTGCTCCTGCCTCCTGTGTGCTGGGATTTGGGATTACAGGCGTGAACCACCACTGCCCAATAAGATGTTAGTTCCTTAAAAGAAGAATATCTGGCTCCTCACAAGAGGTTCTTCCTGCTCCTGGCTGGAGTCTGTCTGCCTAAAGTTTCCAATCTTTTGTTCAGCAGAACAACTGAGGAAAGGTTAGATGTACATATTAGCGTCACTCTGACATTTTGTTAATAGTCAGTCACCAGTCAATTCTAGGTAAAAAGGTCCATTTGTTAAATTTTTCCCCATGCTGACACTCCTTTAACACTGAACTCTTGGGAAATTTCTCATATATGACAAGTACTTGGACAATGAGTCCTCAGTAGACCTCCCAACTTAATTTTTACCAGACTATCAGCCATATATATTATACATGCATACATGCACGCACACACACATATATCCCCCTCAGGAAAAAAAAGGTAGAAACTGGTAAGCCATCAATAGTCGGCTTTCTTACCTTCAGCAGGGCCCTGGCTATTGCGATCCTTTGTTTCTGCCCACCTGACAGAAACAAATGGTAAAGGTAAGCTTAACAAAAATTCCTAGCAAATTTTCTAGTTGGACAAATGACAATTTGAAGGTAATTTCTTCTATTTAACCACAATAGATAGGTAGTACAACAGAAGTTTGTTTTTTAAACATACTTACTAAATAGAAAAAATGATCAATTAGCATAGTTAATATATACTGAGGGTTTCCTTCACAGAAGACATTTTCTAAGTGCATGTGGCATGTTAACCTGTAACAATCATTCTTAGAAGCAGAGTCTAATTGCTTTCATTTTTACAGATAAAAACTGAGGTACGGCCGGGCAGTGGTGGCACACTCCTTTAATTCCAGCACTCGGGAGGCAGAGGCAGGCGGATCTCTGTGAGTTCGAGGACAGCCTGGTCTACAAGAGCTAGTTCCAGGACAGCCTCCAAAGCCACAGAGAAACCCTGTTTTGAAAAAAAAAAAACAAACAAAAACAAAAAAAGTGAGGCACAGCTATGCATGGTGGCACAAACCTTTAATCTCTTCAAATTCAAGGTCTTCCTTGACTACATAGCCAGAGCTGCATGGTGAGACTGTCTCAAAAACAAAACAACAATAAGACAACTAAACACACTACAAAACCCCTGAGGCACAGTGGGAAGTGTCACAGCTGGCAGTGGGAGGAGCCTACGCCTACACTGATGTGAGGGTCTTCAGTGATGTTGGGTGCACATCTCCATTGCTCCCTGTTGGCACACAGCCTTCAGTCCTTCCCTTCCTATGGCGTTCTGCCTCCTTGCCCCACAGAAGTTTTATGTGTACATGAAGCTCGAGGTCACAAACCAAGAAAGCCACTCTAGTTCACTTTTAAGCCCAAATTCCCCCTCAAAACCAGGGAATGGGTAGAATGTTAATATTCAGGCTTGAAACAAGCAATCTAGCCATTCCCATCTGCCTTGCATCTGGCTCTTTCTTTCCCTCAAGTACTCCATCTTCCAGCAGCCAGAAAGCCCAGAGGCTCACACCTCCTGATGTGAACCTCAGTTCTACATCAGGTGCTAACAGCACTACTTTTGAGTTGACTATGGTGATGCTAGGTAGCATGCCACTTTATCCAGGTGTTCATCATATTCAACAGATGCTGAGGTGCCATACTCACATAGAGCCACCCTGGAATGCAAGGAAACCCCAGCCTGGCCCTCTGCAGTAAGTAACTGAGTGCCCCAGAATGGTCTTAGGAGCATCCTAGGGTGGGATCCTGGAGCAGCAACTAATGGCCTCATGGAATGTTGTCCTCCATTCCAACTAGTAAACTAAAAATCTATAATTGTCTATTTCTTTCAAACGGCAAAGGTATTTGGGTGCAGTGGTATACACCTACAGTTCTAGTACTTTGGAAGATGAGACAGGAAGATTAAACATTCTAAGCAAACCTGAACTATACAGTGAGATTGTGCCTCAAAAAACAGAAAGACTGAAGGACCTGTAGCTTCCTCTACTACAAAATGAAGCATGAGAATCCTGTTAAGATGTAAAAACATGCAGAAATCATTCCACAGGAACAGGAGGCTTGCTTGAAAGATGAACCCCACGCTATGATGACTCTCCTATGGTATCTACCAAAAACACCCCCCCCGGCTGCTTTTATTTTAATCATGCAAAATAATCACCGCCTTTTTTGTTTCATTTATCCTCTGTGATCTAATCTCAGAGATGGAAAGGGCCACGGCTTGGTCTAGCCACCAGACACCTTAAAGGATTAAGAGGTGTGCCCTTGTTGAAGTGCTGGGGGTAGGCTTTGAGGTTTCAAAAGTCCACACCAGTCCCACCCCCACCTCCCCTCCACCTCTGCCTGCTTTGGATCAAGATGTAAAGTTCTCAGCTACTTCTCCAGTACCATGCCTGCCTGCCACCATGCTCCCACCACGATGATAATGCTTTGCCCTCTGAAACCTTAAGGAAGCCCCTAATTAAAAGTTGCCTTGACAGGGTATCTCTTCACAGAAATGGAGCAGTAACTAAGACAACTTTCCACATTGGGTGTCTTTGGGACAGTCTCCTTTCCCTCGGGCAGGTGTCTTTGGGACAGTCTCCTTTCCCTCCGGCAGGTCATCGTAGTCCTTTGTCTCCCTTCTTTAATTCCCTATAGCCTCAGGCTGCAAAGCACATCTCTTTTCAGATGGAGACAGGCTTGCTGTCACTGGGTACTACTCAGCAGTCCTGAGGAGAGCTCCGGTAGGAAAGTGAAGGAAACACATTCTTTCAGAAAGGATGAAGTGAATTCCTAAACTGCAAGGATGAAAACCTCATCTAGAAATGACAGTGCAGGGAGGGCCTAGGTCCTGCTCCAAATGAGATGACAGACTTTGAAGATCCCCCATGGAAGCCTCAACCTCCCTGGGGAGCAGAAAAGGGATGGGATAGGGGGTTAGTAGGGAGCCTGGGAGGAGAGGAGGGAGAGGGAATTGGGATTGGCATGTAAAACAAGCTTGTTTCTAGCTTAAAATAAAAAATACACACACACAAAAGAAAAGAAATGACAGTGCACTGGGAAACATGTGAGGATTTCCTGGAGTAAGTGCTTCTGTTACACACCTGACATGAGTTAGCCGATAAATAAAATATAAGTAACACGTACCAGACAGGAGGATGCCCTTCTCCCCAACCACAGTGCCAAAGCCCTGTGGGAAGCTACGAATGAATTCCGCAGCATTGGCCACTTCTGCTGCCCTCTCCACCTGCTGGGCTGTGACTGAGGATGGGTCGTCAGCGCCATAGGCAATGTTTTCTGCCACAGAGCAGGAAAACAGGACCGGCTCCTACAATTGTAAATGCAGCACATTTGTCAGAAATTTCAGCCAACTTCAAGTAGGCACCATGCATACCAAGGAGTTGAGGACAGGTCTCAGCCAAGAGTGACACATTAATAGAACAGGGCTCTGCCTGGAGGTCCTGCTCTTCTACAACCTTGCCCAGACAATTTTAATAATTCCAGTTGAGGGGCCCGCAAATGTTTCAGGAGGTAAAAGGTGCTTGCTGTCAAACCTGACAACCTGAGTTCAATACGTTCATCCCCAGAACTCACACTATGAAAGGAGAGAGCCAAATCCCCTAAGTGGTCATCTGACCTCCATGTGCACACCATGGCTTATGCACACACACAAAACAAACAAATAATGCAACTTTTTTTAAAAAGGTACCAGTTTACCATGAACAAGACCAACTGGATCTGTCGTCTTCACCACACTTTGGAAAGGAGATCCCAAGATGGGTGCCCACAACTGCTGGCCCATGACAACCTTGTCAGTCTCAACACTTCCTTTGGGGTAACAAGGCCTGGAAGACTCAAGTCCAACTGTCTACCTTCCATTACAGACAAAGGGTCCATGTCCATCCATTGCTTTCTGACATATGACCAGACACTACCACAGCATCCTGACAGAATCCTGTGAAGTACACCAGCCTCTAGTCTCACCTCTGCCCTCATGACACACACTTCTAATGCCTAGTCAGTACCTATGGCTACACCATCCATCCAACCTAGTACAGGAGGGGTCCCCATCAGAGTGCAAAAATGGGAGGTGTGAGTGTGACTACAGGGTGCACAATGGTAAGAGAAACTGGCCATGATACAGTTTTGTGCTCCATGCTTGAGCAAGCAGCTTCATGGAAAGGAACCACGCTTGGTTTCCATGCCCATGCATGGGAATGGGGAAGAAGAGTGGGAGCTTCTGCCACTCTGCCTGCCCTGCCCCTCTGCACTGCAAAGAAGTATCGGTCTCAGCTCTCAATGAAACGTCAGCACTTCTTCAACTGAAATGCTTTGAGTCTTCAGGACATAGATGGCAGTTTGTGTGTGGAACGGGTGTGATCCACCTGGAAGCCTCTGTCCCTCTCCTGAGAAACATGAGATCAAGAAAAAGCAAAGGAAGATGGCTGTGTTAATCCCAGAACTTGAAAGGCAGAGGCAGAGGCAGAAGCAGAGCCAGGCAGATTTCTGTGAGTTTGAGGCCAGTCCGGTCTACAGAGTGAGTTCCAGGACAACCAGGGCTGTTATACAGAGAAACCCTGTCTTGAAAAACAGAGGAGAGGAGAGGAGAGGAGAGGAGAGGAGAGGAGAGGAGAGGAGAGGAGAGGAGAGGAGAGGAGAGGAGAGGAGAGGAGAGGAGAGGAGAGGGAGAGGAGAGGAGAGGAGAGGAGAGGAGAGGAGAGGAGAGGAGAGAGAGAGGAGAGGAGAGAGGAGAGGAGAGGAGAGGAGAGGAGAGGAGAGAGAGAGGAGAGGAGAGGAGAGGAGAGGAGAGAGAGAGAGAGAGAGAGAGAGAGAGAGAGAGAGAGAGAGAGAGAGAGAGAGAGAGAGAGAGAGAGAGAGAGGAGAGAGAGCATGTAAAGGAAGACAGGCATGGTGGCACACACCTTTAATCCCAGTACTTCCAGTATTCCAGTACTTGGAAGACAGAGTTAAGCAGATCTGAGTTCAAGGCCAGACTGGTCTACAGAGTTTCAGGAAAGCCAGAAGCCAGGACTGCTACACAGAGAAACCTTGTCTCGGGAAAAAAAGAAGAAAGGAAGGAAGGAAGGAAGGAAGGAAGGAAGGAAGGAAGGAAGGAAGGAAGGAAGGAAGGAAGGAAGGAAGGAAAGAAAAGCAACTTCAACAAAAGATGAAAATGAAGCCTGTCTTCTTACCTGACTGACTGTCCCAATCTTGGATCTCAGCCAGATGGGGTTTAGCTGACGAATGTCATGACCATCAAGACTAACTGTTCCTGTTGGGGGAGGGGGCAAGAAGTCACCACAGGTGAGGGCTGATAACCAAAGTGAACACAAAAGAGATCCGGTGGGAAAATTCTAGATATTTTCTCTCCTCCTCTCTCTCTCTCTCTCTCTCTCTCTCTCTCTCTCTCTCTCTCTCTCTCTCTCTCTCTCTCTCTCTCTCTCTGTCTCTCTCTCTCTCCCTCTTCCATTCCCCTTTCTTAAAAAAATATCTCTTGTAGCCTAGTTAACTTCATACTCACTATGTAGCCAAGAATATTGACCTTCCAATCCTTTTCCTTCCTGGGATTATAGGAGTGTGCCAAATAGTGATTTGACCCCTCTCGCCCAATGCTGTACTGGGGATCAAATCCAGATTTTTATGCATGCTAAACAAGCAGTCAACCAATAGATCCACATCCCCAAACCACAGACAATTTCCAAAAACTAAACATATACTCAGATTTGGAGTATGGCTAGTGGTGAAGTACTTCCTAGCATATGCAGAGGGCCCAGGTTCTATCCCAACCACTAAAAAAACCTAACTTCCACATGGAACCTCAAACCAACAAAGTTTGGACTTTCAGAGCAAGAGGTGTCTTCTGGGAGGTCTGAGACTAGGGTTTCCTTACTGAGTCTGTAGGTTGCTACAAGCTGGGTGACCTGGTAATGCTGGTGTTCCATGAATCTGATGTCTTATGCAGAGCCTTGACTCCAAAGAGAATTGTGTGACCAGGGAGTACACACACTCACTGGCTAGCAGTTCATATGACAACCTCCTGACTCTTAGTCTCCTGATCATGCCAGTATCAAAAGAGCCCATGAAGGCCTGGTTCCAGGACAGAGTTCTGTAAATGTTCTGCAAGTTAAAATGGGGTCTGTTTTGCCACTCCATCTAAGATTACGCAGGACATATATGCTTACATCCTATGAATGAATGAGACAGTGTCATACTTGTTTTCTAAATCCAAAAATTAAAGCTCATGTATAGACTAACAAGTTTAGAGTCTACAAAACTTAGCGAGAACCTGTTTCAAAAGAAAAGGTAGCTGGGTGGTGGTGTCACATACTTTTTTTAATCACAGTACTCCTGCCCCGAAGGTGTCCTGGATCTGTCAGTACTACAGGCATACCACAGCTACTCTGCTGTGCCTGTGACATCAGGGCAAAGTGCAAGTAGCTATTTCTATGCTCAGTGTTCAGAAGCCAGTGAGCACTAAGAATGGTACATAGACTGACATTTTGCAGAGCTATGGTGAGGAGGTACTGGGTTGTGGCTTTGATGTTGTTGAATAGACCCCAATGTAACTAAAGGGTTACACAGTCAGAATTTTATCAAGTTCAAACTTTGGAGTTGGGGAAACTGGGTTTTGGGGGAGGGCATACAGAGGGGTCAGGAAATACAAGAAACCACACACACACACAAATCCCCAACATGGGCACAGGCAGTTCTCTGTGAATTTGAGGCCAGCCTGGTCTACAGGAAAAATTCCTACTAGTTCAGAACAATTTTTAAAAAAATTTTTCGAGACAGGGTTTCTCTGTTTAGCTTTGTAGACCAGCCACCACTGCCAGCTCTAGTTTAGAACAATTTTAGCAGCATAATCACCACGTGAAAGTGGAACCCCCTGATCACCAGATTAACTATTAACTATCTATAAAACAACTAAGGAAATGGGCATAGTGGTGCATGCTTAGAATCTCAGCACTTAGGAGGCAAAGGCAGAAGGATTGCCACAGGTGTGAGGTTGGCCTCATCCATGTAGTGAGTTCCAGGCCAACCCTGTCTTTAAAAACCTAACAACAACAACAACAAAACAAACACAAAAAACAGTCTGGAGGAAGAAGCATCAGAAGATGATCGCTTCCTCAGCACATGGCAGAGCAGTGCTCTGGTGTGGGTATAGAACACTCTACAGCACCTTTGGCTGCTGGCACTAGGGAGCATTTACTGGGTACTACCGGGCACAGGCCTGCTGACTCTCCTGGCTAGTCTTAACATCAACTTGACACAAGCTAGAGTTATCTGAAAGGAAGGAACCTCAGCTGATAAAGGCCCTCAATAAGATCTAGCTGTAAGGCACTGTGGGCAGTGCCATCTCTGGGCTGGTGGTCCTGGGTTCTATAAGAAAACAGGGTGAGCAAGCCAGGGGGAACAAGTCAATAAACAGCATGCCTCGATGGCCTCTGCATCAGCTCCTGCCTCCAGGTTCCTGCCCTGTTTGACTTCCTTTGATGATGAACAGCAAGGAAGTATAAGCCAAATAAACCTTTTCATCCCCAACTTGCTTTTTGGTCATGGTGTTTTGTTGCAGCAATAGAAACCCTAACTAAGATACTGACCTACATCCAACAGTAGGAAAGCAGGGATGTGTTGTTGAGTGTGGAAGCCAGAGCACTATACTACAAGTCTCCTTCAGGGGTGATCTCTCCCGGGCATGGGGTGGGAGCAGGCAACAGACGAATACACAAACAGCTCAGGGATGCCTCTGTCCACAGCATCATTAGCCACCTACCGGAAACAGGGTCATACAACCGCAGCAGGAGTGAGACAACTGTTGATTTTCCAGAGCCACTAGGGCCAACCAGTGCTGTGACAGATCCAGATGGAATGGAAAGACTGAAATCCTGGAACACGGACACTTCTGGCCGAGCAGGGTACGTGAAGTGCACATTTCTGAACTCCAGAGCACCCTGAAAGCTTTTCTCATCTAACACAATCCCCTCTGAAACACAAGAGAGAATACAGAGAGAGAAAGCAAAAATGAAGTTCATGGCAGAACTTGCCTATCAGATGTGAACAGAAACAGATGTCCTTTCCCAACACAGTTCACCCTGGAGGAGCAGGCCTATGTGCATAGGATAATGTGCAGACAATCTTGTGTGACCTTATAAATCCTTAGGAGGATTTTAGGGTTGTACACTACAGCCTGCTCCAGTTAAGTGCCGTGTGAAGACTCACCCTTGGGGCAATATGGTTTCAACACAATAACTTCTCTCAGTGTCATTGCACTCAACTAGCTCCTTTGCAGAGTTCTTCATCTACCCCAAATAAACATTTTGAAAGCACAGTGATGGTGGTTGCATGATAGTCCTGAGGCTAAGGAGGGTCAAAGGTTTACTTAGCTCCAGTGTGATCTTGGCCCTAACTTTTAGCATGTTGGACAGTACCAAGATCGTACTCACTGCACTGCAAGCACCTAGCAACATGGAGGCATCCCTGAGTGCTGAGTATTGGTACTTATGGCCACCTTCCTCCCACATCTCCTCCAGGTGGTCTAGGCCTATGGCTTGAGGGAAGCTGATGACAAGGAAGGAAGAGATGGTCCTTGCCACTTAGTAGTAGTATTCCCAAATCATTTCCAAATCTCAAGAAATGTGAAGTCTTTTATTCATCTTCTTCCAACCTCTTGCAAACATCAGAATCACTAAGAAAGGTTCTAGAAAGCTACCTGAATGTTCCTACTCACACCAGGCCTACTTGCTGCCATCCTGCCCTTGCTGGTATTGTCACTGCTCTGAAGTAAAGGCCACCTCCTGGAAAGCAGAACACTGGTCTAATTGTGCAAAGATTTCTTCTTAAAACCCCAGCAAAGAACATCCCCACCTGAGACTCACCTTTAAAAGGCAGCTGTGGCTGTCTCTCCAGCAGCTCCCAGAGCCGCCCACCAGCACCCAGGCCTTTCATCAGTTCGGAGTAGAATGAACTTAGACCTGAGGACAAGAAGAGTCTCTCGTTAGCTGACAAGAAAGGCCACAGGCTCCTCCTATCCTGAGGAATCCTGGCAATTGCAGCTATCAACATGAAATCTGATATGTTCACTAAAGGAGTTGGGGCGCCAGCTGCTGTACCCATCTACGGTTTACCCTAGCTCGCCCACAGTCTCTCTTTCTCAGGTTTCACAGATTGCTAATAAGGAAAGGGAAACTTCACTCATTACCAGCGAGAAGTCATAGAACTGCAAAGAAGAAACCTCTTCAGACAGCACAGCAAGTACCTCACGGGGCCTACCTACCCCATGTGAACTGAAATTCCTAGAAAAAAAAAGATTCTACAAGGGCTATGAGGCCATGGAGACATAGAAGAATCTTAAATGTGCATTGATAAGTAAACCAGCAAGAAAGGGCTGCATGCTTTATTGATTCCATCCCCCATGACACTTGAAAACTTCAAAGCTGTACAGGCAGTAAAAAAAATGATCTGTGGAAGAATTAACAGGTGGAAGTGGAAATACACAGAGCACCCCAATATCCTTTGTGATATTTTTTTTTTTTGGTTTTTCGAGACAGGGTTTCTCTCTTTGTGATATTATTATGGTGAATCCAGGGCAATACACATTTGTCTAATCCACACACTGTGTGTGTGTGTGTGTGTGTGTTGTGTGTGTGCAGAGCTAAGCCTAATGTTAGCTTTGATAACAACAACGTGTCAATGTAGGCTCAGTAACTGTGTAGCAAATAGACTATTCCAGTGAAGAGAATGACTGAACTTAAACTGAGGGAGGGACAGGGACTGACAGGACAATCTCTGTAAATGCAACAGTATTGCTTTTTAAAAAGTATTCTAAGGCCTCTGTGAGTTGCAGGCCAGTCTGGTCTACATAGAAAGTTCCAGGATAGCAAAGATTACATAGATACATTATCTCAAAAAAACAAAAATTCCAAAGCTGAGTATGGTGACCAACATTTGTAATCCCAGTACTTGAGAGATTGAGGCAGGAGGTCAGATTTCAAAGCCAACCTGTGTTATACAGTAAGAATCTCAATTTAAAAAGATTTATATTTATTGAAATGTTTATGTACACCAATGAACAAATATTATTTTCAGCTTTTCTTAGAGAACCCTCTCCTTGTAGTGAACAGCAGTGACTATAGACACTATGTGAAAGAGATCCAGTCAAGAAGTCACTCCTAAACGAGGCATTTATATAACCCCTTTAAGGCTTAGGAACATTTGCCAAAGAATGGGCCAAAAGAATGTTAAGCAAGGAGATGGGAGGAAGGGCTGTGATGTGCCATCTTCCGGACATGGCATGCCCCTGCAATCATACACTCACAACAGAATTGGTTACAGACACTAGGCCTGAATGAGAATGGTCCTGCATGGGACAAAAAAGGGTCCTACAGGGTCCTACCCACTCACTGCTGAACTTCTGACTACCCACAGATTCTGGGAAAGAGAGAGTCATTGTCTTCAGCTGTTACCCACTGGTGAGCTTACGAAGCTCAATGGGTAGTTCTAAACCCAGAGTCATACTGTCAGTCCAGGCTAAACTCAGTGGGACACAAAACAAAACAAAAAGATCATGAGGTGGGGAAGAGATCTGTAGAGAAGAGGGGCTGAGAGGGATAGAAGGGGGAGAAGAGAGAGCTGGGGAAATAGTCAGAATGTACTAGGTACATGGTAGTATGAAAGTGTCAAAGAACAAAATAAAAAAGACAAAAATGTATTACTAATTCTGAGAAAGGGAGAAGAATGAGAGGCTGCATATGGAGAGTTTGAGACTCGGGGCAGCAAAATGTGTGATGTAAAACTTATTATCCAGGCTCAGGGTCTCCATCCACTCCTATCAACCGCCCTCCTCTGCCCTGGGTACCAGGAGACACATTCCATAACAGCAGACTGGGAAACATGGCTCCCCTGTGGCCCTGAGCTATAGAAGGAAAAAGGGCCCCAACCCAATAGGGAACCTGCTCACCCACTCATGTAACTTCATTTTTGCTTAAGGGAGTAGCACAGCAAGAATGGCTGTTCAGTGGGGCCTGGTTTTTCAATGTTTACCCTTAAAGCCTTTTATGTAATATACCTCCGATGCTCAATCCAACCCAGAAAGCATACATGAGGAAGGAAGAGAGCTCGCCCACTGTCATATGGGCGCTGCCCATCAGCAGGCCCCCCTTGTACAGGACAGACAGCACAATCAGGTTGCCCGAGAGCCCAGCCTACAGGAGGAAGAAAACAAAGTGGTCAGTAGGACCAAAGGCCTCTTGGAACACAAAAGTATAAACCAGGCCTCTGGCTACCTTTTAATATATAAAATTTCTCACAGAACACGTTTTGAAATATTAGCAACAATGAAGAAAATACTTACATCTCCACAAAAGCTTAAATGCTACTGCCCCTCAGGCTATTTCCCCCAACCTGCTCAGCTTGTAAAAGATGAGAGTAACAACTAGTCCTCCCTAACTAAATATGAATCAGTGTGCCACACTCATGGCTCTGAGGAGATGTTCTCCACCTGGAGCTGCAGCCCTGCCTCCAAGCTCTGCTCCCCATCCTGGGAGTTTTGGGTCCCTAGTGAGGAGGTCTTCTCAGAGGTGGAGCTTATCAATCCATTAAACAGCCTCTGAGAGGTTCTTTGCAGTTTAGAAGGAAATGTTTCAATTTTCATTTTTTTCTGGTTTTTGTTTGTCTGACAGTCTCACTATGCAGCCCTGGCTGGCCCACACTCACTGTGTAGACCAGGCTGGCCTCCTCAAACTTACAACAATCTGCCTGTCTCAGAATCCTGAGAATGCCCAGTACATAAGGTGGTTTTCTACTCAGGGATTCTGGGTACTTTGTTTCTTATACTTTCTTCTAGAATGTACTATATGTTATATAATCCTCAACAGGATTAGCCAAATGAGGTTACATCACAAGGATTTGGATGCCTGTGTAAACATATGTCGTGGCATAGTCCTACGGTTCACACAGCACAGATACTCAATGCTAGTGGCTCTCAAAGTTGTCTGGACACATACCAGAGGTGAGCACCAGATTTTACACACACTACTTTTCTCTATTCTACTTTCTTGTTTTCCTCTTCTTCCATAAAAATAGCTTAAAGACTAAGTCATTCTTAGGGTTGAAATAAAATCATTTCTACTGTCAAGAGCCACAGAATGAAAAGTTCTTGCAATCTCACTGCCTACAATGAACTACTTACTGCTCCGAAGAAGCCGGCTCGTGCGAAGGCCTCCTTCCGTGCTAGCTGCAGCAACTGGTCCACTTGGCTGGTGTATTTCTCCACTTCCATCGTCTCCTTCCCAAAAGCTCGGATGGTTCTTATGTTTCCAATACGCTCCTCAGCTAGCTAGGAGAATTCAAACACATAGCAAGGGGCTGGGAAGATGGCATCACAGTTAAGAATACTTGTTGCTCTTGAAGAGAATCTAGGTTTGATTCCCAGCACCCATGTGGTGGTTCATAACCATCTGTAACTCCAGTTTTAGAAGATCTGGTGCCCTCTTACTTCCACAGACACCAAGCACACATGTGGTGCACAGACAGACATGCAGGCAAAACGCTCACACATTAAAACACACACACACACACACACACAAACCCATGATGAAGGAAGGAATGTCACAATGCAATTGACAGCAAAAATTAAAATGTGGCTCTTGCTCAACATGCTGCCAATGGAAGGCTGCATGTGAAACACAGCTGAGTAAGATCACAGAGCAGAGTGCAAAGAAGAATCCCTCTTGCTTTCAGAAAAATATAAACTGCAGGGCTGAAGAGATGTCACAGTCAGGAGTGCTCACTGTCCTCACACGGAACTGAGCCTGGGTGCATTAATCTTGGTGAGTGGCTTACAAATGCCTGCAACTCCAGCTTCAGGAAGTCAAATGCCCTCTTCTGGCATATAACACACACTCGGGAGGTCAGTACCTGTGTGGCTTGTGCTAAAGAGTCCTGCGTGGCTTTGGACAGTTTCCGTAGATATCGCCCATAAATCACGGCGAGGATAGAGATCGGAGGTACCACACTCAGAACAAAGGTGGCCAGACTGGGTGACACAAAAAACTGTCAAGAACAAAAGTTAAGAGCATGTGTTCCTTGAAGTGACAAGGCATCCTCAGACCTACAGTGTACAGGCAGGAAGACACTGTCTCCAAGCCATGCCTCCTGTCTGCGTTGGATTTTCCTGGCAAACATTAATCCTTACAAACCCAACACCAAAGCTGAATGTGCATAGGCCTTTAAATCCCAGCACTCAGGAGGAGACAGAGGCAAATGATCTCTATGAGTTAGAGGCTAGCCTTGTCTACACAGTGAGTTCCAGGCCAACCAGGTCTACATAGTAAGACCCTGCCTCAAAATCAAAACCACAAAAACTCAATGTGGGCATACTACCAAGGGGAACTGTGGCTGCAACTGCTGGAGAAAAGATGTAAACAGCATATCCTCTAGCCAGTTCCAATAGGCTCTAATATGCCAGACCATATCTTCAACAGCAGAGCAAGGGGTGGGATGGAATGAGGGTGGAGAGGCCTATTCAGCTGCACTGGTAAACCCACAGCATGAGTTCTAAACTCAGCCATAATCACCCTAAGGTCCCGAGTGTCCAGAATTTTCCTACCTAGATCAACAAGTCAGAGAAGACACCAAAACACCCCATACCATACACAGTTGAAACAGGGATATGCATACAACAGCCATAGGTTAGAGTGGAGGAACTGTTTCCCTGGCTTAGCAGCCTAGAGCCAGTAGATCAGGTTTGGTCAGTTTAACTATAACAGTACCTCAAAGAATAAGAACCTTTTTGTTTTCTTTTTGTTGTTGCTGTTTTCCGAAGCAGGGCTTCTTTGTGTAGTCTTGGTTGTTCTGGCACTCACTCTATATAGACCAGGCTGGCCTTGAACTCACAGAGATCTGCCTGCCTCTGCCTTCTAGTATTGGGATTAAAGGTGTGCCCCACCAACACCTGGCCTAAATGCTTGGGGTTTTGTTTTATTTCGTTTTTTTTGGAGACAGGTTTTCTCTGTGCAATAGCCCTAGATATCCTGGAACTTGCTTTGTAGACCCAGCTGGCCTTGAACTCACAGATATCAGTCTATTCTACAAGAACCTTCTTGAATTAGCTGATTAGACTTCCCCAGTTCTGCAGTGTGGTGATTGTTTTAAATGGTACTAGTGTCTCTTCAATACTTTATTAAAATGCACCAAATCTCATTTGCACAGAAAATAATATAAATGGCCTAAGGTCTCCTAATATAAAGTTTATAAGATGGACCGACTAATTGCTCATCTGTTTCTTACTCTCAAATTATAATTCTGCTAAGTAATTGGCTATACTTTTTTTATATCCTGCCCTTTGCTTTGCTTGGTTTTTGTTGTTTGTTTGTTTTACACTGTCTCTCGTTGTCAAGGCTAGCTTCAAACTAGCTTGTGTGGCAAGAATGACCTTAAATTTATGATTCTCCTGCCTCTACCTACTGAGTTCTGGTATGACATACATATGCTACCATGCCAGCTTTATGCAGTACTGGAGACTGAACCCAGGGCTCAGTGCATGCTGGGGAAGCACTCTACCAGTTGAATTACAACCCTAGCAACCTTTTTGTCTTTTAACCTTGCTCCATGAACATTAAGGTCATACTCATAAGTCACTCAGGCCAGCAGGGCTGGTTGGAACACAAACACTACCTGGAGAGTGAGCTGAAATGGGCTGAGTCACCAGAGATGAGCAAGACAGCTGTGGAACACAGGCCACCTTGCAGGGGCACAGAAAATGGGGTCTTCACCCCTTCAACCTGACACTTGGTTCCCAAAGGGGCTCTTTGGTCTGACGTTCTCGGTTGTCTTCACACCCTGGTCTTACACATCTTCAGGAAAAGCCACTCTTCAGAGTAATACTTACACAAGAGAGATATAGGCCAGGCCAGGAGAGATACACAGTCTGGGCCAATGTTCTTGCTCTATAAGCTTACAAAATTACATCTCAAGCCCCTCATGCTCAAAAGCCCTGGCCCCGAGAGCCCTGATATAAATCACTAAGAGGAATAGGCTGACGTACCATCATGCCAACACCAACCGAGACCTGGGCCCCAGCCCTCAGTCCGTCAGAGAGGTTTTCAGTCACTGAACGCCCCAGGAGTGCAGTATCTGAGGACAGGCGGTTAATCAACTCCCCTGTGCGGGTCTTATCAAAGAAAGCAACCTCTTGCCTTAGGATAGAGGAGAACAGTGAGGTGCGCAGCCTATTCACAATGCTCTGACCTGCAAAGCAAAGACAGCAGCTAACAGTGAATGCAGTCACCTGCCTCTCATGGGGTAGCCTGTTGTCACAGCCAGCTTGTAGACTAAGCACACCAACTGGCATGGGACGGACTCATACAGGGCCAGCATGTTAACTTCCTATTAGTAACTACAGACTGTGGGTACAAGGAGAGGAGAGCGTGATAAAGGTAACATGGGCTAGCAAGATGATTTAGCAGATAAGGGTGCTTGCCATGCAAACCTGATGACCTGACCTCACCATATGTGCATGCATGCCTGCACAATGTAAACACACCATAACAACAATAAAAACACATTTTAATTTTTTTTAAAAAAAGGTAACATGTTCCTTGACACATGAGGAGCATCACATACCCAAAATGCCAATCTGTTCATGACTGGCTGCCCTTACATGAACTGCATTTTGCAATGGCAGCAATGGGTCAGTCACCTAGAGACCAGCTTACTAGCCATGTAGGCATGGAATGCAGTCCTGGGCTGCCAGCACTGGGATGGCTCCCTGCCTGCTAAATAGGCCTCTCTAAAGAAATGCCACGTAAGTTCCTGTCCCAGTAGCTACACAGCATGAGCAGACAGGTAGGTCTTGGTTTTACTACCTGTTCAACCCTGACCACAAGAAAGTAGAGAATGTACTGAATGATCATAATACCATCTTGGTTGGATGTGGGATCTGTACCCAATGAATGCAATTTCAGGAAGAGACTGGGCCTTGGAGAAGTGACACTCGAGGCCCTGACACTACCCCAGGACTTTGTCATCTTTGAGATGACCGCCCCGGCCCCCAAACCTAATGAGACTGACCTGAAGATTGCATGAGGTAGACACGAATGGCGTTCGCAGCAGCACCACACAGGAACACACAAGTGAGCCCAGCACAGAGGCGAGTCAGGCTGTCACCATAGTCCACACTTGGGTTGGTGTAAATAACATCAATGATCTTCCCCAGGAAGAAAGGGGCAGACATGGTGATGACACTGGACACAGCAAGAAACCCAACAGCAGCTGGAAGACAGGAGCAACACTTGGAACTCACTCCACAGCACAGGACAGGTGCAAGCACAAAGGGCCTCAGACCTCCACTGGCCTCGGTAGCTAGGCTTTCTCCGCCTTCATCAATGGGCATGACTAAAGGAAGGGCCATGTGGCTTCAGGGTAAGAACAAGAAACTTGACTGTGATGGAATATGTGTACCCAGATAGACAAGAGGATGCTATGGTTCCTTCTTTGCTAGGAGTACCTGAAGCTAACCTTGGACATCTGTCTGGCCTCCTTCCTTCTCCTGGTTTTGATACTCATTTCAGATCCTGTATTTCTGCTACATGCTGTTACTCCTTGGCATCTAACTACACCTTACCTTGATGGTCAGAATGATGGGGAAGTCCTGTGTATACGTCAATAAAGCACTGTTGGCCAATAGGGAAGCAAGATAGGTGGGGCTAGGAGTCGAGGAGGACTCTGGGTAGGAGAAACACAGGGAGTCACGATGCAGCCCGCCAGAGAAGTAAGATGTCCAGAACTTTTCTCCGGTAAGAGAAATACTTAGATTAACAATTATGGGGTAATGAACTCAAGAAAGCCAGTAACAGAGAGGGAGGACTGATGATCAAAGGGATTAAGACTGGGCTGGTTTAACCCCCAGAAACAGCTGACCAGACAAAGGTTAACTCTTGAATCCCAGGCATCAGCCTGGGAAGCCAGCATGGGACTGATCAAGACCCCCTGAATCTGGGTGTCAGTGAGGAGGCCTAGGGAATCTATTGAGCCTTGGGCAGCAGATCAGTACCCATCCCAAGTATACACACGGACTTTGGACTCCCATAGAACAACGTGAGGTGCACTCTCACCCGAACTCTTGGGGAAGGGTCTAGGCCCTGCCCTATATGAAATGACAGACTATGCACACCCCCATGGAGGGCCTCACCCTCCCTGGGGAAATGAGGGGATAACGGGGGGGGGGGGAGGGCTCAGGAGGAAGGGAGGGAATGGGAGAGGGACCTGGAACTGACTTGTGAAGCAACCTTGTTTCTTATCCAAATTTAAACTGGAAAATAAAATTAAAAACAAAAACAAAAACAAAAAAAACAATTATGGGGTAAATACTTAAGTCAGAGCTAGCCAGAAACAAGCAAGGCCAACAGCTTCATAATTAATACAGCGTCTTGTGTGTTATTTGGGGACTACAACGTGGCAGAGCCCAGGCGACTGATGGGGAAAAACCAAAGTGGCTGGCAAGGAAAAGGCTTCTCTCTACATCAGATTATCCAGGGAAAGTTTATCTTTTGTGTGTATGAGGGAGGGAAAGTTATTCTGAGACAAGGTCTAACTCTGCAGCCCAGGCTAGCTTCAAACTCACAACATAGCCCAGGTTAGCCTCGAACTTCCTGTGATAAACCTCAGCTTCTTGAATGATGAGATTATAGATATATACCATTGTGCCTGGCTTAATGTTCTTGACTATGCTTAGTATTTCAAAAGCTTTGGAGAATAGTTCCTGGGATCTACTTTGTATGTGGTATGTCCCTTCTTAGTATTATTTCTCTGGGGAATAAAGCATGAAATGACCATAATCAGGAAAATAATTGTCCATGTAACTAAAAAACAGATAAGGGGGACAGAGGCTTAGTAAAAAGTTCTAGCCAGGTGCAGTGATGAACGCTTGTAATCCCAGCACTTGGGGGATAGAGGCAGATCTCTGAGTTCAAGGCCAGCCTAGCCTGTTTTACATAAGTTTCAAGCCAACCAAGACTATATAGTTAGTTGGCTTAAGCAAACAAAATATTCTAAGTAAATCCAGTAAGAAGGAACACACATCACAGACAACCACATCCATACAAAAAGGAATATAAAATCAGGACAGCCAGGTTTTTACTTGTGAGACCGGTAAAGATTACATGCTCGTAATATTGGTGGAGCGTGGGAAGGAGGCCCTCACTGGTGGGAACACACAGTGGCACTGATGGAAGAAGCAAGTTTACACGAGCAACAAGGGAGATCCTTTGACTAGTAACGGGGTTCTGAGAATTTTACTTACAAACTTCCACAAGAAGTGTGGAAAAATAAATGAAAGGATGTGGGGTTACAGCATTAGTTATATCAGCAAAAGAATCAGTATCTTAAACACCCACCTAAACAGGGTAAGTTGCACTTACTATAAAGAATTTTAACTGGGTGGTGTGGTGCACGCCTTTACTCCCAGAACTTGGGAGGAAGAGGCAGGCTGATCTCTATGAGTTCAAGGCCAGACTAGAGCGAGTTCCAGGGCAGGCTTCAAATCTACACAGAAAAACCCTGTCTTGAAATATCAAAAAAATTGTAAATAGTTGGGCAGTGGTGGTGTATGCCTTTAGTCCCAGCACTCAAAATGCAGAGGCAAGCAGATCTCCGTGAGTTCAAGGCCAGTCTGGTCTATAGAGTGAGTTCCAGGACAGGCTCCAAAGCTACAGAGAAACCCTGTCTCGAAAAAAAATTATAAATATTAAGCCACCATTATAAGGAAGGAATGAGGTAACTCTTGGGCTATCTACTTGCAACAGTTCAGCAAGATGTACCATGGGAGCTGGGCCTGGTGACACAGGGCTGATAACCAGGAGGATGATGTTGGAGGATCACAAGTTCCAGTCTAACCTCGGCTACAGAGTGAGTTCAAGACCAGCCTGAGCAACTTAAATGAGACACTGTCTCAAAATAAAGAGAACTTTGGATGTAGCTATGTGCTAGAGCACTTGCCTAGCATGTGTGAAATCCTAGGTTCAATCCCCAGTACTGTTAAAGCAGAGAAAGACAGACAGATACACAAAGACAAATGATTGGTTAAAAACAAGTCTTAGATAATAATAATAGCATCTGTTGGGTGTTTTCCTCTTTTTTCTTTCCTCTGAGTTTATATAAGTACCAAACTTTTTTGTTTTTTTGTTTTTTTGTTTTTTTGTTTTCTTTCTCTTCCCCATTTCCTTCCTTTTAAAAAAAAGTTAAAAAACTTTTTCTTTGTCTTTTTGAGACACAGTCTTGCTTGCTATACAGCTCTTGCTAGCCTGGAACTCATATATACACCAGTTTAGGCTTGAACTTGCAGTGATCCTAGTGTCTCTGCCTCCTGAGTTGCTAGGGCTACAGGCATTCATGAACACACTATGCACATCAGGCTGGCCTCAAACTTGCAGTGCTCTTCCTGCCTATGCCTCCTGAGTGCTAGGATTACGGTATGAACTTCTATACCAGGCTTCTCTAGTTTTCTAGATCACATGAAGAATCTGCACTTTGTGAATTAGATAGCTTTAGTTCCAAATGAGTTCTTGCATAGTAATGGCATACATACAAAGACGAGTGGGAAACCTGATTTGGGGAAGCATGCCTCCAATTCCAGCACTCAAAAGGCAAGTTCAAAGCTGGCCAGTTCCAGACCAGCCAGAGTTACATAGTGAGATAGAGCCTGAAAAAAAAAAAAAAAAGTAGATGGGGCTATTTATCTTAATTCAAATCATCCCAGTATATTCCATCAATTTATTTTATTTTTATATTAAGTATTTTTAAAATTTATTTTACATACCAACCACAGTTTCCCTTCCCTCCTCTCCTCCTGTTCCCGCCCCTCACTTCCTTTCTACACCTCCCATCCACTCCTCAGAAAGTGTAAGGCCACAAAGGAAAGTCAACAAAGCCTGGCAACAAAACCATGGTCCTCCACACCCGCTGAGTGAGGCATCCCACCATAGGGGATGGGTTCCAAAAAGCCAGCTCATGCACCAGGGACAGATCCTGGTTCCACTTCTAGGGGCCCCACACACAGACTGTGCTACACAATTGTCATTCACATGCAGAGAGTCTAGGTTGGTCCCCTGCAGGCTCCCTAGCTGTCAGTCTAGAGTCCATGAGCTCCCAAGAGCTCGGGTCAGCTGTCTCTGTGGGTTTCCCCAGCATGATCTTGACACTCCCCCATCCCTTGCTCATATAATCCTTCCCCCCTCTTTTCAACTGAACTCCCAGAGCTCAACCCAGTGCTTAGCTGTGGATCTTTGTATCGGCTTCCATCAGTTACTGGATGAAGGTTCTACGATGACAATTAGGGTAGTGGCCAATCTGATTACAAAGAAGGCAAAGTCAGGCACCCTCTCCATTGCTGCTAGGAGTCTTAGGTTCATCTTTGTGGATTCCTGGGAGTTTCCCTGGCACCAGGTTTCTATGTGCAGATGATATGACAGTATACATAAATGACCCGAAAAATTCTACCAGGGAACTCCTTCAGGTGATAAGCACCTTCAGTAATGTGGCGTGATACAAAAATTAACTCGTAAAAATCAATAGTCCTTCTATATACAAATCAGAGAAGCATCATACAAACCACAAACAAAATAAAATATCTTAGGGTAACTCTAACCAAAGAAGTGAAAGACCTGTATAAGTACTTTAAGTCTTTGAAGAAAGAAATTGAAGAAGATACAGAAAATGGAAAGATCTCTTATGCTCTTGGATAGGTAGGACTAGCATAGTAAAAATAGCAATCTTACCAAAAGCAATCTACAGATTCAATGCAATCCCCATCAAAATCCTAACACAATTATTCTTTACAGACCTCAAAAGAACAATACTCAACTTCATATGGAAAAACAAAAAACCTGGATAGTTAAAACAAACCTTTACAATAAAGGAACTTCCAGAGGCATCACCATCTCTGACTTCAAGCTCTACTATAGATAAAGCTATAGTAATAAAAACAGCATGGTATTGGCATTAAAAAACAGATACGTGGATAAATGGAATCAAATCAAAGACCCTGACATAAATCCACACGCCTATGAACACCTATTTTTGACAAGGCAAAATTCTACAATGGAAAAAGAAAGCATCTTCAATAAATGGTGCTGGCATAACTGGATATTGACATGTTGAAGATTGCAGATAGATCTGTATCTATTGCCATGCACAAAAGTCAAGTACAAGTGGATCAAAGACCTCAACATAAATCGAGTTACACTGAGCCTGATAAAATAAAATGTGGGAAGTAG